CAAAAGGTGCAAAACCAGACAAAATCAAGGTCAGAGCACGGGCCCCTGGGGAGCTGCATCAACCAGGCAAACCCCTACGGACACGAAGTTTTAAGCCACCAGTGGCCCTTCAAGCCCAGGTTGGGTGGTTGAGGGGTGGATTTCCACCCCTCCAGGCTTCCTAATGTTTCTTAGGAATTTCATCGAGTTAAATAAGAATAAGGATTGAGTGCCGACATTTCAGGAGCTGCGGTGGAGCTGGGACAGAGGAGCTGTCAGACGGGAATAGCCCAGTGGTCCGAGAGCCTGCCTGCAACAAGGGGCGAATGCTGGATGCTCCTGAGGATGGTGTAAAGCCTTCATAAAGCACCTAATTGTGCAAAACTCTCTATATGGGGACATTTATTCTTGACCCCAGCTGGTGCTCAGCCTGTTCCCTGAAGCATGAAGATTGATAGTCCTTGGGATGGTTCCTTTTTTTCCCCCCAAGGTGCTGTCATTGCAGATGTCATTTGTTTTTGGAAGTTTACCAAACCCTCTGCCTTAATAATTCCACGTGCCGGCAAGTTTCCCAGGGGAATTACACCAGGAATCCCAAAGAAAAAATGCAAAAGGGTGAAATTAAACATCGCTTGTGCTTCGGGCAGGGCAGGAGTTACCGGGTGAGCTCAGGGAGCAGCATCCACCGCCGAAAAAGCACCTTTATTCCTTATTTTCTGGAGGAGATAACCCCGTTTCACAACCACGCTTGCCCACCCTCCGATTTGCACCGTTTTGCCCATGCAGGAACAAGCATCTCCTATTCAGCCCCGGCTCCGGCTGCCGCTCAGTGAAATTCGGGGCCGCCCTCGGCGCGGGGAGGGGAGCGAGCGGCGGCTCCTTCGGCAGGGGTGACTCGCAGCAGCATTACACGCATGATTACCCTTCAGATCAGGGGAACAGGGGCTTAACTGCGTGAGAAACGGCTGTTATTCAGGTAATGGATTTACAGCACTCACTACTAAAGTATCAGACACAGCAATTTTTTACAGCTTTCACGCTGGAATTTATGGCTCAGGGAGGCGATCTCCATACGAGGCAGGGATCATTGCCTTATTTAGTATCCGAGGAGGAAAATTTATGTTTTTGCCAAAGTTTGTTTTGAAAGGTAACCTGCAAGCACGCACACATGTCCCCCCCTCCTCACGGCCGCCCGGGCGTGCACGGTGCAAGGGGAGACGTGTGCCATGGAGCTCCCGGGCACAGGCTCCCTGAGGGGCACAGACAAGGACAGAGCTGCTGCAGGCACCTCACGGTCACACGTGTTTTTTGGCCACGTGTGTGAGGTTAATTCTTCAGCTGAAGGCACCAGGAGCCCCAGAGAATGGGGGACCACTGATGGTCACGCACCTGGATAACCAAACACAGAGAAAACCTGCTCCTCGGTTTTACAGCCGACAGGTCTTTGCCCTCACAGCCCTCTCCTTTCCCTGCACCACCTTCCCCACCCTGACGGGGGACAGAGCGGGCAGACCCCACAAGCACAGGCAGGACCTCCCCCCGAAACACAGCCACCTCTGGGGCAGCAGGCACCATGCACGAGCTGCATGGATGGATGGGCTCCATCTCCAGAGGGATGTGCACCCCAAAGGACAGGCACCTGCTTTTTGGGGCAGCACTTGCACCCCAGCTTCGAGAGGGATGACCAAGCCTGGCACAACCCATCTCCTGGGCCAGCCCCAAGGGCGAGGGGAAGGTTAAAGTCGGGCGTTTCCCCCAAACCAAATCCTCAAATGACCCAGTTCCGTGTTGCCTTGTGTAAGAGAAGGAAACGGGGTGTCCCTCCTACCTGCTGCTGCTGGAAGTGCAGGAGCTCCACGGGGCTCATCTCGCCGTTGGTCTCCCCACTCGTGGCTCCTTCGCGCCCTCCACCCCCTCCGCCAACCCCGGCACAATGCGGGCGCGCGCTATTCAAGCTTTTCAACCGAATCCCACCATTGAAATCCAGGGATTTAAACCAAACGCCATCCCCTGGGCTGGGGGGGAGAGGGAGAGAAGGGAGGGAGGGAAGGGAAGGGAGGAGGATGCTCCAGCCTCGCTGAGGAGGGGGATGTCCTTTCCCCATCCCATCCCACTGGGCTCCCGCTCTCCCGTCAGACTCTCCGGGCCACGGGATGCTCTGAAGTCGTGTAGGTCAGGGTGGACAGACGGACCAGGCACAGCCGAGGACGGCGACAGAAAGCCGTGCTCTGCGGTGAAGCAGAGCCAGCGCTGCAGCTGGCAACCCCTGTCTGGGCAACGCCAGCCTGGTGCAGCTGGACACCAGCATCCTCTTGCTCTGGGGATTCCTCAGAGGCCAGCAAAGAGCCTCGGGGGGGTCCCTGAGCACCCTACGATATACACACACCTCCCCTCAAGCTCTCACCCAGGGCACTCCCCTACGCAAAGCCTCCTCAGGGAGCTTTAACTCAAGAAGTCCCTGCAAACAAGCCCCAGGGCTGTCTGAGCTCACCCTTTCAAAAGCAGAGAGACTGCAGGCACGGAATAAAGTCAAAATTTTTCACCAAAAGGTGCAAAACCAGACAAAATCAAGGTCAGAGCACGGGCCCCTGGGGAGCTGCATCAACCAGGCAAACCCCTACGGACACGAAGTTTTAAGCCACCAGTGGCCCTTCAAGCCCAGGTTGGGTGGTTGAGGGGTGGATTTCCACCCCTCCAGGCTTCCTAATGTTTCTTAGGAATTTCATCGAGTTAAATAAGAATAAGGATTGAGTGCCGACATTTCAGGAGCTGCGGTGGAGCTGGGACAGAGGAGCTGTCAGACGGGAATAGCCCAGTGGTCCGAGAGCCTGCCTGCAACAAGGGGCGAATGCTGGATGCTCCTGAGGATGGTGTAAAGCCTTCATAAAGCACCTAATTGTGCAAAACTCTCTATATGGGGACATTTATTCTTGACCCCAGCTGGTGCTCAGCCTGTTCCCTGAAGCATGAAGATTGATAGTCCTTGGGATGGTTCCTTTTTTTCCCCCCAAGGTGCTGTCATTGCAGATGTCATTTGTTTTTGGAAGTTTACCAAACCCTCTGCCTTAATAATTCCACGTGCCGGCAAGTTTCCCAGGGGAATTACACCAGGAATCCCAAAGAAAAAATGCAAAAGGGTGAAATTAAACATCGCTTGTGCTTCGGGCAGGGCAGGAGTTACCGGGTGAGCTCAGGGAGCAGCATCCACCGCCGAAAAAGCACCTTTATTCCTTATTTTCTGGAGGAGATAACCCCGTTTCACAACCACGCTTGCCCACCCTCCGATTTGCACCGTTTTGCCCATGCAGGAACAAGCATCTCCTATTCAGCCCCGGCTCCGGCTGCCGCTCAGTGAAATTCGGGGCCGCCCTCGGCGCGGGGAGGGGAGCGAGCGGCGGCTCCTTCGGCAGGGGTGACTCGCAGCAGCATTACACGCATGATTACCCTTCAGATCAGGGGAACAGGGGCTTAACTGCGTGAGAAACGGCTGTTATTCAGGTAATGGATTTACAGCACTCACTACTAAAGTATCAGACACAGCAATTTTTTACAGCTTTCACGCTGGAATTTATGGCTCAGGGAGGCGATCTCCATACGAGGCAGGGATCATTGCCTTATTTAGTATCCGAGGAGGAAAATTTATGTTTTTGCCAAAGTTTGTTTTGAAAGGTAACCTGCAAGCACGCACACATGTCCCCCCCTCCTCACGGCCGCCCGGG